TGTAGTGGTTAAGAGCGGTGGTCTTGTAATCTGGTGAACTGGGTTCGATTCCCCGCTCCGCCACATGCAGCTGCTGGGTGACCTTGGCTAGTCACACTTCTCTGAAGTCTCTCAGCCTCACTCACCTCACAGAGTGTTTGTTGTGGGGGAGGAAGAAGGGAAAGGAGAATGTTAGCCGCTTTGAAACGCCTTCGGGTAGTGATAAAGCGGGATATCAAATCCAAACTCTTCCTCTTCTTCTTCTCTGGGTACCATTTGAGTGAAACAAAAACTTGTTTCTCTCTTGCAGAGACGCACAACACCTGCTTCTGCCTGATCCCTAGCCAGTGCCCGCCAAGTGAGGAGCACCTCTTCTGCCTCAACGTTCGGCACAGAAGGATGACAGCCAACCTCTGCACACTGGGGGCCATGAAATGCTCCAAAATGAACTTTGAAGTAGTGCATGAAGGACGCTGCTTGGACTAAGAGCCTTTGGGGGTCACTGCTAGGTTCGCAGCTTGCGTGGCTGCATTCGTTCTGGGCCTCTACATGCAGCTTGGATTTCAAAGGCTGAGCTTTCCGATTCAGGGCTATTTCTTCTCATAGCTCAAATACGCATGGGGGTTCAAGGCCACGCCAATCCTGCTTTCCATTATCTGACTTTCTCTGGCCGTGCATAGAGTGTCCTTCTTTTGAAGGAAGCCAGCTTCTCTACTTACAAGACGCACATAGTCCTAGCGTGGAGTGCCTTTCCTCTTCCAAGAAGCCGCTTTATGAAAATCCTATGACAGTGCCTCTCAACATGATCATAATGCTAAAATATAGAAAATAAAAATAAAAATATTGAACAGTAAGAATTCAGTAAAATTAGGGACGGTGGGCAGTGTCAACCTGATGCATTTTGCTGCCAGAAGTGGGTCACAACTGATGCCTCCCTACTACAGTTTTATAAAGTGTTACTTCACTCTTCAGACACTAGGTTTTACCTTCTTGTCTTCTATCCCCTTCCTAGTGCCTCTGGGAGGATGCTGCTTCAACTGCTGCATGTCAGGGCCGGCCCTACCAGTTGGCAAAGGTATCCCTCTATGAGTCTAGAGAGAGCTGACATGAGCTGGCAATCTATTCCAGGGGACAGGACCCTCAGGCTCAGGGCGAAATGTGACCCTTTGGGCCTTTCTGTCTCTCCTCAGGCCACCCCACTCCTTGGCTCTGCCTTGCACCCCCTTTGAGTGTTTTTGCCTCAATGGAAGATCAGTGGTCGGGTTGAGCACATGTTCTGCATGCTGAATGTCCAGGTTTGACACTCATCACCTCCAATAGAATGAATCTCAGAACGTAGGCTTGGGAAAGGTCTTGGAGAGTCACCACTTACTGAAGCAGGCAAGTCTGGCTAGACAGCCCAATAGCATGACTTGCAGCTCCACAAATTCTCAAGGTTGCCGTTGGTTTTCCCTCAGCTGCTTCCTTGTTCCTCAGATGCAGGGCCGGATTTAGGTTTGGTGAGGCCCTAAGCTACTGAAGGTAATGGGGCCCTTTATATGTCCAGCTGTCCTTTGTCAACAACAAATTGTCGCTGTTTTTTGTGCTGAATATGTGCTATATGGTAATTTATGGACATAACAGCCATTTGCACATAACAAAATAGGAACCTACACAAAATAAAACACTGTTGCTGTATGTAGGTTTTATTTTATTTGTTTTTATCTTATATTTTGAAAATGTACATCCAGTTGTTATTTCTTTAATTTTTGGGGGGGCCCAAGAGAGTGGGGCCCTAAGCTATAGCTTGTTTAGCTTATACATAAATCCAGCACTGCTCAGATGCGAGGAATGTTGTATTTGTTTTCCTGCTTATAATGCCACTACTTCTGTCCTAATGGGACGCGGGTGGCGCTGTGGGTAAAAGCCTCAGCGCCTAGGGCTTGCCGATCGAAAGGTCGGCGGTTCGAATCCCCGTGGCGGGGTGCGCTCCCGTTGTTCGGTCCCAGCGCCTGCCAACCTAGCAGCTCGAAAGCACTCCCAGGTGCAAGTAGATAAATAGGGACCGCTTACTAGCGGGAAGGTAAACGGCGTTTCCGTGTGTGGCTCTGGCTCGCCAGAGCAGCGATGTCACGCTGGCCACGTGACCCGGAAGTGTCTCCGGACAGCGCTGGCCCCCGGCCTCTTGAGTGAGATGGGCGCACAACCCCAGAGTCTGTCAAGACTGGCCCGTACGGGCAGGGGTACCTTTACCTTTACCTTACTTCTGTCCTATGTTCTAATGTTCCTTTCACCTGTTGCATGCTGTGGCTTTTTGACCAACATGTCACACTAAATTTCACTCACACCAGTGGGTGTGGTGTGGCCCAACAATGGAAGCCTTTGGACAATGCATCTACTCCCCTGCCCTTTCCACACTTGCCTGCTTCTCTCTTCACCCACAAAAAGGACAGGAAAGAACAGCATGCCAGTATATACCACCCCAAATTCCATCATGTTTACTCCATCAATTTTCTAGGCTAATGAGGTTGCAAACAGATTATTTCCAGAACCAGTTAACAAGAAAATAAGCACTAAACTTCCATTAGATTCTCAGAAGTGACTCTTACATTGTGCGAAAGATCAAATGCAATGTGGAAATCGACAGGGAATGTGGGGAAATGGAATGAGCTGCCATGTGAATGCAGCCTTAGATGTAAATTTGACTTCAGAACCCGACCAAGAGTGTAGGAGGCCACACTCCAGATATGTCTGGATGATGCATGCTTTCTTCAGCTTCAGAGAACTTCCCTGGGAAGTCCAGAGTTTCAGAAAGTGGCAGTTTTAGGGCTATTATGTAATTCTGGTTTCAGACAATCCCCACTGGTGGATATTGTGATGGTTAGAATCCTGTCTAATGTAGAGCTTGGGGGCTATTTTGTAGTACAACATGTATTTGCCTGTTGCCTCACCATTCTGCGTTCAGCATTGATTGACCATAACCTCGAGTCCGCTTGACATACATTTGGGGAATAAAGTTTCTGTTCTGTTAAAACTTAACTAATACAAATAAACGTCTCATCAGAAAGGCCAACCCAGTTTCTAGTTTCGATGGCCAGCTAAAAGAAAAGAAAATAATTCAATACTAATTGTGAGTAGACCGGGGGACTGAATCTGCAAATCTGCTCTTTCTCTTACCAAGCAGATTTGGCATTTTGTGGCTTCCTATACATGGTTTTTGGCCAAGAAGGGTAAGTCTCTTTCTTTGACAGATGCTTGATTTATTTGCATATTGGGCTTTATGTGCATTAATTCGGGGAAATATGCAAATCTACGAATTGCCATGTTGGGTCACATGAAGATTTATTGAGATCAGCAACCTCTTTTATAAACAAAGGACATCCAAATGCCTCTAGAACTGCTCCACAGTGTACATTTAAAGCACATTCAATGCTCTTCACTTCCCCCAAAGAATCGTGGGAGTTGTAGTTTCGTCCTCACAGAGCCGTAGTTCCCAGCACCCTTGACAAACTACAGTTCCCAGGATTCTTTGGGGGAAGTCATGTGCTTTAAACATACGTTGAATGAATATGCTTTAAATGTATATTGTGAATTAAAATGGCTTGAAAATGGCTTTCTGTCTGTGGCTTCTGGACACAGAGATTCCATTTAGTTAAGGTTTTGGTTGACATCTGTCTGTTTCGAGCGACATTGCGAGTGCCTCTCCAGGGGTGAAGTGAAACTGCTGTGTTAGCAGCACCAAAGTGACCTCCCCAGGACACAAGCCTGGATGGTGTGTAGAGAGGTCCTGGGCTGCCCAGACGACAAGACCTCCCTCTCGGCCTCGGTGATGTGGTCCACAGGAAAGCAGAGCAATGCTTTTGGCACCTGCTTGGCTGCAGGAGTTGCTGGAAGGAGGCATACAAGGTACCATCCAACCATTTTAGGAAATCCACTCTGGATTTGTGTAGGGTTTACGTCTTAGCCTTTCCTTCTGAAAATATCTCACAAGGCAGTGGAGGTTTAGGATCAGCATTTTCCTAGATGGGTTACCTTCCCAGGTTGAGGAGCCCCATTTGCCCCTCACTTCCCTCGACAGTATGTGCAGAAACTGCCTTCTTGACCATTGGACCCACTATTGGTCTCATCCGCTCAATCCACTAGAGCCTGTCTTTGCATGCAGGGGAAGTCCCTAACTCACTGAGGTTTTGAGGCTCATTGGCGACCCTCACTTGGTTTAGATGGTCAATCAAAGTTGTTCCTGGCATGTGGCCACTGTAACATGATGACAGATTCTAGTAGCCACAGGGGAGAGCTGAGGGTAATTTGGGGAGCAAAGGTGGACAAACTACCCCAAGAGGAGAAAAACATGAAGCCAACAGAGGTACTACCCTTCCCCTAACACTCCTTACACCACACTCTCCCTAATTGCAAATGCAACTAGTGAGTACAGACAGAAATGGAGACATCAAGAAAAATGGTGGAGGTGTCAGTATGCTCAGGGTTTACAACAACAACACAGCCCAATGAAGACCCTTAAAGGTAAAGGTAAAGGGACCCCTGACGTTAGGTCCAGTCGAGAACGACTCTGGGGTTGTGGCACTCTTCTCACTTTATAGGTCGACGGAGCCGGTGTACAGCTTCCAGGTCATGTGGCCAGCATGACTAAGCCACTTCTGGCGAACCAGAGCAGCGCACGGAAACGCCGTTTACCTTCCCGCCGGAGCGGTACCCATTTATCTACTTGCACTTTGACGTGCTTTCGAACTGCTAGGTTGGCAGGAGCAGGGACCGAGCAACGGGAGCTCACCCCGTCACGGGGATTTGAACCGCTGACCTTCTGATCGGCAAGCCCTAGGCTCTGTGGTTTAGACCACAGCTCCACCTGCATCCTTACTGGTGTGTAAAAGATTATCCAGGACATACTATTGGTTCTTGGAAACAGGATAGTGTATTTATTGACTATTCTTACAAGTAAAACAGTGAATTAAATTATTCTTACATTACTACTACTACTACTACTACTTATTTGCATATTCTTTGTAACTGGACACTTTCAGGCGATGGAGAGAACCAGCTTGGTATTCCTTATCCTACTGAGCTTTGTAATTAGGAAAGGTTTTGGGTGCTACTGTGACCATTACCCATGGAGCTCCTGGTCCAGCTGTTCACAGACTTGTAATCATGGGACGCAAACCAGATCAAGGTTGGTATTAGCAATCACAAGATCTCCTCCCCACCTTTAGAACATCAGAGCGGGAAAAGAACTCACCTTCATTAATAACAAACTCATACTTAATTTCCAGAATTATGCTATAGAAATAATCATCATCATAGAATTGTAGAGTTGGAAGGAATCCATATCTAGTAAAAAGGTAAAGGACCCCTGGATGGTTAAGTCCAGTCAAAGGCGACTATAGGGTTGCGGCGTTCATCTCACTTTCAGGCCAAGGGAGCCGGCATTTGTCCACTGACAGCTTTCTGGGTCATGTGGCCAGCATGACTAAACTGCTTCTGGTACTATGGAACACCGTGATGGAAACCAGAGTGCATGGAAATGCCGTTTACCTTCCCACCACAGTGGTACCTATTTATCTACTTGCACTGGTGTGCTTTTGAGCTGCTAGGTTGGCAGGAGCAGGGACCAAGCAACGGGAGCTCACCCCGTCACGGGGATTTGAACCGCCGACCTTCTGATCGGCAAGCCCAAGAGGCTCAGTGGTTTAGGCCACCGCGCCACCTGCATCCCTTTACCTTTACCAACCCCCCTGCATCTGTCAGAATCCCTGACAGATGGCCATCCAAGCTCTGTTTAAAAACCTCCAGTGAAGGGGAGTCCACCACCTTCCAAGGTAGTCTGTACCACTATTGAACAGCTCCTACTGTCATGAAGTTCTTAATAGTAATAATTTGAATTTATATAGTCATCCATTCATAATTATTATTTGCTTTGTCTGACAAACCAGAAAGGAGAGGGTTAGGGAAGGAAGCAAAAGCTTCCCACATTAGTTGCTTCCATCAGTAATCAACGCTTTGGCAAGGGCCACATTCAAGAGGGTCCTGGACAAGGAATCCGCTGGAACCACCCCTCCCCAACAGAACTTTCCAGGGGGCAGTGGAGGGGGCAGCACCAGGGATGGGTTTCATGCAGTAAAGAACTGTGGTGCAGCAATAAAACGTTTAGCACATTTGCAAAGCTAAGCAGGGTCCAGTGCGATTTCAAATTGGATGGGAGACCGTGTGTTGAGTTTCCTGCATTGCCAGGGGTTGGACGATATGACCCTCAGAGTTCCTTCCAGCTCTGCAATTCTACAATTCCATGACATATAACATATATAGAACTCTCCCATGGGAAGGGCATCCTGACAGGCCCAGGATTCCTGCCTCATGCTGAGGAGTCCTATGCACATAAGTGGAGAATTGTATGGGGCCCTTTCTCATGCTCCCCATGTGACTGGAGGGGGTGGTCAAGATACCGTATTTTTCACTCCATAAGACGCACTTTTTCCCTCCTAAAAAGTAAGGGGAAATGTGTGTGCGTCTTATGGAGCGAATGCAGGGGGGGAGGCAGGCAGGTAAAGCCCCCAAGAGCCATATACAAGCTCCTCGCGGCTCTTCCGGGCTTTTCCCCAGGAGGGAGAAGGGATTGACACGGCCAGTCAGTCCCTTCTCCTTCCTCTTAGAAAAGCCTGCAGAGCTGCAAGCTCCTTAAAGGGTGCGCGGCTCCTGTGGGCTTTTGCGGGAGATGGGGTTCTTGGCTTCTGCCATAGCCGTGCGCAGCCTCTCCCGGCCTGAGAGGTTGCGTGAGGCTAAAGAGGAAGCCAAGACAGCCAGCGGGATATAAAAATAATATATATATATTTTTATTTCCCCCTCTAAAAACTAGGTGCGCCTTATGGAGCGAAAAATACGGTACTTGTTGCCAGCAAGGGAGGGCCCTGTCCATGCCTGGAATGAATATGAGAGGGTTGGGACTGTATGTAAACCCTCCCCTACCCACTCCACCATTTCCCCGACATAAGAATCAGAACTAATTTGCAGCACCTTCATCTCGCAGGGAAAGCAACTACGATGCCTACTATTATAAGAATTCTTGCGACAGATTGTGCACTTGGAGAGAGACGCGGGCCTGCAACCAGCAAGTCTGCCCCATCAACTGCCAGATCAGTGACTGGGGCTCCTGGTCAGAGTGTGACCCATGCGTTAAAAAGCAAGTAAGCAATTTGATTGCAGGGACACGTGAGAGTGGCCAGAGCTGTGAGTACCATGTGGCCTGCCCTATAACCCCTATGCTAGCCTGCTGCCCTCAAGTGCAGTGGAAGACACCAGTACTAAAGTAAGGTTCAAATGTCACTCCACTGGCTTCTGTTTCTGCCTCGGGAAAGACCCCCATCTTGCCCTTTGGCTCAGGCAGCAAAATGTATTGAGCTGGCATTGGCTACACAGTTGTGACTTCCCCTTCCCGGCTCAGCTGAGATCCAACCCGCTGAGCCAAGCCCGGAGCAACCGCATATATGTGCGGGACACCTCGGGATCCAATCAGAAACCAGGATTGGCTTCTGTAATTCTGATTTAAGTGTGACATCCCAGAATTACAGAAGCCAATCCTGGTTTCTGATTGGATCCCGAGGTGTCCCGTTTTTCCAGCACTTTGGCACGAGTCAGCCCTGCACATATATGCGGTTGCTCGTAAGTCAAATGGACATAGGTGGGAAGATTCCACCCTTGTATTTCCATCTGTTTCAGTTTCGTGTCAGGTCTCTGGTACAGCCGTCTCAGTTTGGAGGTCAACCCTGTACTGAGCAGATGACAGATTTCCGGAGATGCTTCCCCACAAGGTTATGCAGGATAGAGGAAGTCAATTGTGGGAACAAGTTCCAGTGTGAAAATGGTATTTTCTGCATTTATACATCTCTCTGTGGGATACAATTGATGGTGTATGTCTGTCTATCTATCTATCTATCTATCTATCTATCATCTATCATCTATCATCTATCATCTATCATCTATCATCTATCATCTATCATCTATCATCTATCATCTATCTATCTATCATCTATCATCTATCATCTATCATCTATCATCTATCATCTATCATCTATCTATCATCTATCATCTATCTATCTATCTATCTATCTATCTATCTATCTATCATCTATCTATCTATCATCTATCTATCTATCTATCTATCTATCTATCTATCTATCTATCTATCATCTATCTATCTATCTATCATCTATCTATCTATCTATCTATCTATCTATCTATCTATCATCTATCATCATCTATCTATCATCTATCATCTATCATCTATCATCTATCTATCATCTATCTATCTATCTATCTATCTATCATCTATCTATCATCTATCTATCTATCTATCTATCTATCTATCTATCTATCTATCTATCATCTATCTATCATCTATCTATCTATCTATCTATCTATCTATCTATCTATCATCTATCTATCTATATCTATCTATCTATCTATCTATCTATATCTATATATCTATATCTATCTATCTATCTATCTATCTATCATCTATCTATCTATCTATCTATCTATCTATCATCATCTATCTATCTATCATCTATCTATCTAGCATCTATCTATCATCTATCTATCTATCATCTATCTATCTATCATCTATCTATCTAGCATCTATCATCTATCATCTATCATCTATCTATCATCTATCATCTATCTATCTATCATCTATCATCTCTATTTCTATTTCTATCTCATGGATTCTGAACCTCAAGACCTGAGGTCACAACTTTTCTGGGTGAAAGGACACATCTGGAAATAATAGACTGTTGTGCCCACCACAAAATAACCAATTCACAGAAGAAAAACTGATGATGCTCAGAACCACCACCACTACTCCGAAAAGTATTATTTGTTTTATTTATTTCATAAAATGTATATACTGCTGGATTGTAGAAAATACCTCAAAGCGATTTACAAAAATAAAAATGAAACAATTATCGCTAAAAGATTTGCAACCACAATTTAAAACATACAGAAAGCTAAAACTACAACAGGAAAGACTAAAACAAGTTTAAACTCGTACAAACTTTCTAAACATATTTAGCGCCCTCAAAACAGATAAAACAAACAAAAGCAACCCTTTTCCAATTAAAAAAACACACCTATATATATGGTTGGAACAGGGATTCTATGATGCTGTTTTACTTCAGGGCCTGTCAATTTTGAGTGCTCTTTTGCGGGTTCTTAAACCAGCACATTTCTTCTTCTTGTTAGTATTTTATTATTTATTAAATCTGTATATCGCCCTTCATTTGTGGATCTCAGGGTGGTTCACAACATAAAAATACAATATTTAAAAGCACAAAATACATAATGAAAATAAGAACGAAAAACAACCTCTCTCCCACATATGGTTATGCTCTGTTGAAGTAGTCATTAAATACACCGCTGGGCTGTTCAATTAGTCCTAGCTAGCACAACCTGAGTCGTGCCGTGAGGGGGGCTTACTCGTACCTGAAAGTCGTCATGCTGCTGTTCTTTCTCCAAAACAGGTCGCTGTGTTGCCAGACAACTGAGATGCAATGGAGACAATGACTGTGGAGACAATTCAGATGAAAGGCACTGTGGGAGGATAAAGAACACCTGCCGCTCGACAGTCAAGACCATACCCAGTGTGCAGCTCATGGGCCTGGGGTACAGTCATACCTCATGTTATGTCCGCTTCATGTTATGTTATTTCAGGTTACGTCCCGTGGTGACCTGGAAGTACCGGAAAGGGTTACTTCTGGGTTTCGCCACTCGCGCATGTGCAGATGCACAAAATGATGTCACACACATGCGCAGAAGTGGCAAATCGCAACCCACATGTGCGCAGGCGTGCCGCTGCGGGTTGCGCTCTTTTCATGTTGTGAACGGGCCTCCAGAACTGATCCCGTTCACAACCAGAGGTACCACTGTATATTGCTTTCACTTGGGCTTCATAGGGGCAATTTTGGTGGATGTGATGCCAAGGGGGGAAGTGATGCCACGACCAGTGGAAGACTCGAACTCTTTGAAGAAAAATCTGTGGTGTCTTCTTCCCAGATGCCGTCTTCCCATTGTTTATTGTGAGAGCATTTTGGATGCCGTGATCTTGCACGATTTTGCACTGTCCCCCGCAAAGTACTTTCTCAGGCACAGTGCCCCAAATTGTCTGTTTTGGCTTGCCATGCAAGATTGCGGCCCTGAAAAGACAGCACAAAATTGCACAAGATCCCAGCAACCAAAATGGCTGCCATTCTCTTGTGATAAAAAACGGGATGTCTCTGTTTTTCTGGGACACTTGTGGGATTTGCTGTATATTTACATTAAAAAATTATGAAATAGGGTAATCAAACTTTAAGCAAGGGTCGCACCAGAGTATCCATGAAGGTGAAACCACCCTGGAGTGCTGAGGTGTTTGTTTTTGTGGGACTTTTTTGGGTGACATGTAACAAATTTGGTGATTTGGTCAAATTAGGTGCAAGACAGCAACAAAGGCTTTCTATCATTTCAAGGTAATCTAATCTTTATTTGCTCAATCACAACTTTGCTTAATCCAACTTTCGTTCTAGATACCACATTCTGGCAGGAGAGAGCCGAGGAGAAGTCCTGGATTTTTCTTTCTATGGCGGGAGCTGCGTCCTTCTGAAGAGTGAAGACAAAAGGAGCACATTTCGTGTGCCTGCAAACCTTGAGTCTGTCCACTTTCAGGTGGCTTGGCAAGGCCTTCTGTAGGACTAGCAACTAAGGTGGCCAGCGAGCCTTCAATCTCTTCGCCTCTGTGCTATACCAGCACTTGTATATAAAATTGTCCAAAATTCCTTAGACTTCTTGTTGTTGGCATCTGTCTGTCTTGTGAGACAGTAAGCCTCCAGGGGTGAAGTCAAATTCTGTATGAATGGTATAAAATTCTGAACAGCACCAATTCATAATAGTGTTTTTCTTTGAAATCCATGTTCACTTTCTTTTCTTTTGTAAACAATGGCTTTTTAAAAGTAACTTATCACATAGTTTATATTTAAAGCAATTTGGCAAAGCAACACATTTATTTCACTTGGCTGTACGCCAGAGGCTTTTATTTCCATTGCTCTTCTCCAACCCAAACATGGATCTGTGGATCTCTCTTGACAGGTGAAGCATCAAGAAGATGACCTGAAAACAAATTATTATACAGATTTAACATCCTTGGTATGCTCTTCTAGCAATATGCAGTATTTCAGGGGACACGGGAAAGATAACTGGGGAATCCCGTATTTATGGGGGTCAACGTCAAACACAAAAACTACGGCATCGAGTTCCTTCCACGAAGCCATCAAAGCATCGCACAAAATGGTGAGAATGTGTAGACCTTTGTGTAGGCTGCTTTCCTGTTTATTGTCTGTCTGTTTGCTTTTTAAATAAAAGGTATACACTGCTCGATTGTTAAAAAAAAACAACTCTCAGCGTGGTTTACGAAAAGAGTAAAACAATAAAATTATTGGTAAAGACAGTTAAAAACAGGTATTTAAAACTGTCAAATAATAATTGAAATCAGTGATAAGATAAACACAGATTTAAACACATGCAAATATTTTACATATCTGCATAGGTTTGCCTAAACAAAAATGCTTTTGGGTTGCACCTAAAAGTGTAAAGTTGCCTGCTTGATGTGGCAGGGAGGGACTGCCACATGTAAAGGCTGATTTCTTGCAAGTGTGGAATGACTATTATGTGGCACCTATAACAGTTCCAGTTCTGCAGATCAAAGCAGTCCGATGAGCATATACGGGGTAAGATGATCTCACAGATAAATGGAAGCTCTGTGCTAGACAGCCTTTGCCAACCTGGTGCCCTCCAGAGGTTTTGGACTCTGTCCTCCAGAGTTTTGAGAGCCAGTGTGGTGTAGTGGTTAAGAGCGGTAGACTCGTAATCCGGGGAACTGGGTTCGCGTCTCCGCTCCTCCACATGCAGCTGCTGGGTGACCTTGGGCCAGTCACACTTCTTTGAAGTTCTCAGCCCCACTCACCTCACAGAATGTTTGTTGTGGGGGAGGAAGGGAAAGGAGAACGTTAGCCGCTTTGAGACTCCTTAGGGTAGTGATAAAGCAGGATATCAAATCCAAACTCCTCTTCTTCTACTACTACTGCAATTCTCATCATCCCCAGACAGCATGGCTGTTGGGAGTTGGGGTCCAGCAAACATCTAGAGGGCCACCAGTTTCCCACCCTCGACCAAGTTGTTCATTGTATAGGCCAGAGAGGATAAATAGGGTTGTTGTTTTTAAGGCCAGGGCAGAGGGGTGGGGGAGAGACGACATAATAATTCTCATCATGATCAATCTTTTTCCATTTCCAAGAATTCCAACTTCATTAGGGTCCATAAGGTGATTGCTGTGTCGAACTTCACAGTGAAGCAGTCGGACTTGCACCTCTCCAGAGTTTTCCTACAGGCCCTCAACAGCCTGCCTCTGGAATACAACTATGCCCTTTACAGCCGGATATTTGATGACTTTGGGACTCATTACTACAAATCTGGCTCAATGGGAGGCAAATACGACCTTCTTTACCAGTACAGTGAAGAGCAGACAAAAAATTCAGGTATGCCTATCTACATCGTGAGACAATAATTGGTACTTTTTCAAGGAACAGAGAATGGAATGGGGAAACATGAGTCTGGGAACATTTCTCTACCTTGGGTTTGTGGAGTTTGCTTGGAATCAAGACATTAAAGAATCAGACTTTAAGACTGCTTTAAGCTGGAAGTGAGATAGCAACTCTGCTTCCAGACTAGTGAAGTCCAAATAACATTTTGTAGGAAGTGGTGAGTCCTGTTTGCCCCAGCCTCAAACATGGGGTGAAATGGGATGGGGTGATTTTCAACGTGTATTGGAAAAGCGTAAAATATTGCTCTTCCTCTAACCACACTCCCATGTGGGAGGGGGAGAGAAAAATGGATATAAAGGAAATGCGTTTTTTGGCAAGAAATGGGTTAAAGTGATAGAGCTGTTTCTTCCAAACCCTCTTAGCTTTAGCAGGGAAGCTAAATTAGAACAACGGGAAAGCTAAATTTCCTGCACAGCCATGAGATACTGGATCTTCCTCTTGAAAAAGGGAAAGAAAGAAAAACGTGACATTCTCATAGTGGTAGAATATTTCAAACGTGCCTTGTGGTTTGAGTGTGAGCTGCTGGCCGCAGCCTGACAACCACCACTTTCAAGGATCAGATGCCATTGTGCTTGATATCGTGGTTGCTCAGTTCTCCTTTGCGAAATGTCATTTGCTATTTTTGCTGTTGAATGGTGTCTAGGCTTAACCCAGCAACAAATGGAAGGCTGTGTGCGAACAGAAACGACAAGAACCTATATTTTCTTCATTAAGAAAACAGATATTCATTACGATTGCGTCAGAAGTAAAATGACTGAGAGCTATGAAGGTAGCTATCCTACCCCAAAGGTAAAGGTAAAGGGACCCCTGACCATTAGGTCCAGTCGTGACCGACTCTGGGGTTGCGGCGCTCATCTCGCTTTACTGGCCGAGGGAGCCGGCGTACAGCTTCCGGGTCATGTGGCCAGCATGACTAAGCCACTTCTGGCAAACCAGAGCAGCACACGGAAACGCTGTTTACCTTCCCGCCGGAGTGGTACCTATTTATCTACTTGCACTTTGACGTGCTTTCGAACTGCTAGGTTGGCAGGAGCAGGGACCGAGCAACGGGAGCTCACCCCATCGCGGGGATTCGAACCGCCGACCTTCTGATCAGCAAGTCCTAGGCTCTGTGGTTTAACCCACAGCGCCACCCGCATCTAGGGCTCCCCATATTCTGTATTCAAGATTCCCAAGACACTAGTCCAAGGGTAGTCAATGTGGTGCCCTCTCGGAGCTGTTGAAATTCAACCTTGGGCAGCATGACCAAATGATCACAATTGTTGGGAAGTGTAGTCCGAAAGACACCACATTGGTTACCACTGGCCAAGTCTGACCAGTATCTAAACTTTTGCAGGCTGCCTCCCACACTTGGTTCTATAATATCGCCCCCAGTGCCCCTTTACCCTATGAAAAGCATTATTCAGAATAGTGGTTTGCATGACCCACTAAGGAAGAAAGTAATACAATAAAATTCAAAACACTAACAATTAACATCAAAGTTTTTGGACGAAAAAGTAATCCAAGTTCAAGTTCTGCATCCAGTGGGGGCTAGGACAGTTACTAGCCATTGGAACAAGTTGCTCAGACGAGACAGAAAGGAAGGGAGGGAGGGAGGGTGGAATAGGTATTGGTCCCCCTCCAATGGTTTGCGGAGTCAGCTGATCACTTTCTGGCTGTGGGGTCAGCTGACATCACTCATGTCAGTACTGTAGCTGAGAGGCCACTCTTCCATTATGGATCCTCCTCTAACTGACTGGTTCAAAGCCCAGACCAAGAAGGCTATAGGAAGTAAGGCACCTCCAGTTGGCACCCCCAGTTGGCAGCTGGAACTTGCAGTTCATGACTCTCCCTCATCACCTTACTCGTGTGTGTGTGTGTGTGTGTGTGTGTGTGTTGCATTTGCTGATTTCATATCCATCCTAGGTTCCATGCTGAAGTCATCTGAACGGTCTATTTCCTTCGTCGAGGGTGGAAGGGCACAGTATGCTGCAGCGCTAGGCTGGGAGAAAAAAGGGTCTTTCCCGGGACAAACTGTCTTTACCGACTGGATGGAATCAACCAAGGAAAACCCAGTGGTGGTTGACTTTGAGGTAAGAGATAGAAAGCAAAATAAAGAGTAAAGTAAAGGGACCCCTGACCATTAGGTCCAGTTGTGGCCGACTCTGGGGTTGCTGCACTCATCTCACTTTATTGGCCGAGGGACCCGGTCTACAGCTTCCGGGTCATGTGGCCAGCATGACTGAGCCACTTCTGGTGAGCCAGAGCAGTGCACGGAAATACTGTTTACCTTCCTGCTGGAGCGGTACCTATTTATCTATTTGCACTTTGACGTGCTTTCAAACTGCTAGGTTGTCAGGAGCAGGGACCGAGCAACGGGAGCTCACCCCGTTGCAGGGATTCGAACCGCCGACCTTCTGATCGGCAAGTCCTAAGTTCTGTGGTTTAACCCACAGCGCCACCCGCATCCCAAAATAAAGAGTAGATACAAGGAAAACAGGTCTTATTGTGATGGTAAGATGCTCACTTCTCCTAGACAAAAAAGAAGTGAGGATTATTATTTTTTCCATTTGCACATGTGCTGATTTATGTAAAATTGTTCCTTGTCTGTGCAAGTCCTGATTCTTCCCATTTCATTTAATCTATGTTGGGGCACCTGGCTGGTCTTCATCTGAACAGGCAATAGGACTAGACACCTCTTCCAGTGATATGATTCTGTAATTCAACTGCCCTTGTACAGAAAAAGCAGAAAACACAAGAGAAACATTAGTTTTTTCTTGGTTGTATAGAGAAGGGCCAAACAAGACCTAGGGGATTTCACCATGACAACATTTGAGAAACTCTGTGTAATGCTTTCTTAGGTGACCCCCATTTTGGATTTGGTGAAGAACTTCCCATGTGCTGTGACCAAACGCAGGAATCTCAGGAAGGCTTTTTCAGAATATATGGAGAAATACGATCCATGCCGATGTGCCCCATGCCCCAACAATGGTCACCCTGTTTTATCTGGGACCGAATGCCTGTGTATCTGCAAAGCTGGAACTTACGGTGATAACTGTGAGATACGAGCCCCAGACTACCAGTCAGGTATTCAGCATGCATATGGTATCTTGTACCATTTGAGCCTTGGCTACCCATCAGCTACATTTTGTACTGAGTGAAGTAATCACGGGGTCTTCAAAGGCAGCTCCAGGTACAACGCACTGCAGCAGTCTCACCTGGAATGTTGGTGCTAGTGCTAAATGGTTGAGACACAAGCTGGTGAAAGTAAGAGTGAACATATCAGAATGGTTGGCCAGCAGCATTCTTTGCTGCCCCATGTAGCTGCAGGACACAGCCTCTGGGGTGTTTCCTGGAGTCCTGTGAAAAGTGCTATCTTGGGGGCAGGGGGACTGTGACGTTAACATATGAGAGTGCTGGAGGTGAAATAGTTAAACAGGTTACCCAATCAGAACCCAGGGGGGTGGAGTCAGAGGGACTATAAAACCCCCTCTGGGAGGGGTGAAGGGAGGAGTTCGTTGGGAGTTGGGTGGTTGGTTGGAGTGGGAGTGAATTGGGATAGAGTCTGGGGGTAGGTTGAGTTACTGTAGCAAAATAAGCTGAGTTAGGAATAGTTAGGGGCTAGGAAGACAAGTAAATATCTGAGAGGTGGTTTAGTGAGTGAGAGCAGGTAGCGGAAGTTATAGGTCTGGATAGGAACCCCATGATTATAATTGAACGATATTGTTTATGAAATCACACGCTTGTTAAACTGCAATAAATAAACAAAAGTTTATGTTCCAATTTAACCCTGACTGGACTCAGTATTGTACCAGGTAGGGCCTGGGTGGTGGCAGCAAGAAATAAAGTGGTGGCACAGGGATCAATAGATGGTGAAACGTCTGGGGACCCTGTGTGATCGCCACAGGGACAACAGCTGTACACAGTGAAAGAGGTTGCCATCTAAAACCCAGTGTTGCAAGGGATCCTGGAAACCCCAAAGCATGACTTTGCAGATAGCCATAGAAAATATTGATGCCCAAGGAGCTTCTTGAGTGGAATCTAGACACATATAAAAAACATAAAAATGCTTTTTTAAAAAAATATGTTTTGATAAATATATTGAATTTGCCATAGCTCACCATCGCCATCTAGTATCACATATGTACAATGCACTTTACAACACTATTAAAATGTTTTATTTGCAGTTTTATAGTCCTTGGTGTGCCTGCATAGTCGGTCATATCTGACCTGCTAATGGGGCCATGGAGTAGAAAAGAAGAGCGACAATGGAAAGGCTGAGAATTATTATTTTGTTAGGTTTTCTGCTCCTGATTACACTTGGTTCAAGGCAAACATGTCGCCTGTCACTCTACAGATCTTAGCTTTGAAGTGCTCGCTTTGTTTATAGAGTTGCTTTATCAATCATTGTTCTAATGGGACCGTGATCTTTTAAAAAATCTGTTTTCGTGCGCCATGTCGCCTTGAGAACACTTGTTGTCGGATGACTAATATACAGATTGGTTGGATGAATGAATCATGGAATTGGCTGTGGAACTGTTTTTGATGGTTTCAGAAAGGGGTGAGACAACATTATTACAAAAGGTGTGCCGAGAGAGAGAGAGAGAGAGAGAGAGAGAGAGAGAGAGAGAGAGAGAGAGCCCAAACTCAGTTGCTGCATTCAGACATAGGAAGCTGCCTTATGCTAAGCCAGACCTAACTCAGCAATGTCTACAATGTCTGGCAACAGTTCTCCAGAGTTTCAGAAAAGGGGCTTCTCCTGCTTGGAGATGCCTGGGACTGAAGTGGGGATAATTTGCGTGCAAAGCATTTACTCCACCGATCCGCAACCTTTTCTCCAAGGAGCTCAAGGTGATGGTACATGCTTCATCCCTCTCCTCATTTAATCTCCACAACATCCCTGTGTGGTAGGTTAGGTTGAGAGGCAGTGACCTTGGGGGATTTGAACCTGGTCTCTCAGGTCCTCCTAACCACACTGCCACACTGGCTTTCCAGAACAATAAGCCAGACTTTCTGCTTATCATGGCTTACTGGGAATGAGCGCTGTGCTTCCGCAATTTGTCCAGTTTCTAAGGCTTTCCTCCTCCTCTGGCATCAGCAGGGCAAACCATCCAAGAAGCCTTGGTGTCCCATTGCATCTGAACCAGAGATCAGGATTTGTTCCTCCCTTGGAAGTCACAACCAGCAAGTCATCTCTTGAAGTTGGCTAGTGTTAGTGGCCTGTTTGTTGTTGTTGTTGTTGTTTAGTCGTTTAGTCGTGTCCGACTCTTCGTGACCCTATGGACCAGAGCACGCCAGGCACTCCTGTCTTCAACTGCCTCCCGCAGTTTGGTCAAACTCATGCTGGTAGCTTCGAGAACACTATCCAACCATCTCGTCCTCTGTTGGCCCCTTCTCCTTGTGCCCTCCATCTTTCCCAACATCAGAGTCTTTTCCAGGGAGTCGTCTCTTCTCATGAGGTGGCCAAAGTATTGGAGCCTCAGCTTCACGATCTGTCCTTCCAGTGAGCACTCAGGGCTGATTTCCTTAAGAATGGATCAGTTTGATCTTATTGCAGTCCATGGGACTCTCAAGAGTCTCCTCCAGCACCATAATTCAAAAGCATCAATTCTTCGGCGATCAGCCTTCTTTATGGTCCAGCTCTCACTTCCACACATCACTACTGGGAAAACCATAGCTTTAACTATACGGACCTTTGTTGGCAAGGTGATGTCTCTGCTTTTTAAGATGCTGTCTAGGTTTGCTTTTCTCCCTCAAGAAGCAGGCGTCTTTTAAGTTCGTGGCTGCTGTCACCATCTGCAGTGATCATGGAGCCCAAGAAAGTAAAATCTTTCACTGCCTCCATTTCTTCCCCTTCTATTTGCCAGGAGGTGATGGCCTGTTAGGGTTTGCTTATTCTGCTCACACCAGGGGAGAAGTGAAGCTGGGGTGATCGGGCAATGTGAGAGTACACTTCTGCCTGTTCACACTAAACCATAAAGCAGGAAACTGGGATTATTAAATATGGATGCAGCCACTGAGTTTGGTAACAGGCTTGTTGATACCAGTGGCCTTTAGATGAGCTCACATCTGCACCTTGTTGTGTTGAATGCTAGTTGCAGTAGATGGCTTCTGGAGCTGCTGGTCTGCATGGAGTTCATGTGATGCATCTTTCAAGAGGAGGAGGACTCGGTTGTGCAACAACCCCCCGCCCACAAGTGGAGGGAAACCTTGTGAAGGTGATGGAGAAGGAGAGGAAGACTGCTATATTTCACTGTTTGAAGACAAGTAAGAATCACATCGGGATGCGGGTGGCGCTGTGGGTTAAACCACAGAACCTAGGGCTTGCCGATCAGAAGGTCGGTGGTTCGAATCCCTGCAATGGGGTGAGCTCCCGTTGCTCGGTCCCTGCTCCTGCCCACCTAGCAGTTTGAAAACATGTCAGAGTGCAAGTAGATAAATAGGTACTGCTCGGGCGGGAACATAAACGGCATTTCCGTGCGCTGCTCTGGTTCGCCAGAAGCGGCTTAGTCATGCTGGCCACATGACCCAGAAGCTGTACGCCGGCTCCCTTGGCCAATAAAGCGAGATGAGCACAGCAACCCCAAAGTCGGTCACGACTGAACCTAATGGTCAGGGGTCCCTTTACCTTTACCTTAAGAATCACATCATCCATGCAATGCCACCAGTGGACAGAGTCCTTTGCTCAAACTCAAGCTGCACATCATACTGTACCCTAAAGTTTGCCCTATCCCCTGATCCTGCAGTACTCAGTGATAAAGACAAGTGAGTGCACCAGAGGGAGTGAATGTGCACTGGATAAAAACAAAGCAGTCCCTTTTCAAGGTCACCGTGTAGGTGCAACCCAAATAGTGCTGGCACTAGCATTTTGGAGCCCTCCCTGAATCTGGAGGAGGTGGGTGGTACATAGGAATTAAGGAAGTTGTCTTATACCAAGTTAAGCCACTGGTCTATCTAGTCCTCCAGATTTTGGGGCTGCAAAGCTTATCAGCTCCGGTATGGTAATGGATGATGGGAGTTGTAGTCCAAAATATCTGGTTGGGGAAGGCACTGACTGGAGGTGGCTCTCCAAGGTTTCAGACAAGGGTCTTTCCCAGCTGTACCTAGAGATGCTGGGAGCTGGACCTAGGATCTTCTCCATGGACACCCCCACTCAGTTAACACCACCTGGTGTGTACACAAACAGAAATGAATCTGACACTAATGAAGCCATGCTGATGTGGAGGGGTGTGACAGCTTTACTGCACTCTAAGGCCGGAATGTCTTCTCTATTACTCTTGTTTGTTTAATAAGCTCCTAACTCATGCATTTTCAGAGGGGCTCCTTGCATAAATGATGATGAAGTCGTAAGAGAAGTAGATATGTATCAACCTGAACAAGACTTGGGATGCCTGACTCCTGTACCTCCAGAAAATGGATTCATCAGGGTGAGGAACATTTTACAAACTGCAACAGAAAGGGGTTTTTTTTGGGGGGGAGGAGTGTCTCAAACCATCTGGCAGAAGGCTTTGGTTCAGGGCACTAATCCTGGAACATGTTCATGAGAATCGCCTTTTTGAAATGGTTTTGTGAGCATGTACAGACTAAAATAGGGACACGGGTGGCACTGTGGGTTAAACCACAGAGCCTAGGACTTGCCGATCAGAAGGTTGGAGATTCGAATCCCCACGACGGGGTGAGCTCCCGTTGCTTGCTCCCTGCTCCTGCCAACCTAGCAGTTCAAAAGCACATCAAAGTGAAAGTAGATAAATAGGTACCGCTCCGGCGGGAAAGTAAATGGCGTTTCCATGTGCTCCTCTGGTTCGCCAGAAGCGGCTTAGTCATGCTGGCCACATGACCCGGAAGCTGTACGCCAGCTCCCGTGGCAAATAAAGCGAGATGAGCGCAGCAACCCCAGAGTCAGCCACGACTGGGGCTAATGGTCAGGGGTCCCTTTACCTCCTTTACCTTTACAGACTAAAATGTGCCAGAACTAGTTAGACGTTCACCAGAACCAAAGATGGAGAGACCATTCAGTAGCAACATGGCACAATTTTAAAAGACCTGGATTAAGAATGTAAGAACCTTCTGGGTCAGGCCAATGGCCCACCTAGTTCAGCATCTTGTTCCCACCTTGGCTCCCCCAGATACCTGTTGGAAACCCACTAATAGGACCCAAGCACAAAAGCACTCTTTCCTCACCCAACCTGTAGTTTACAGCAACCGGCATTCAGAAGCCTTGCTATCTCCAGTCATGGAAGCAGAGCATTGCAATCACTGATAGCCTTAACCTCCATGAATTTGGCCAATACGCTTTTGAAACCATTCAGGTTTGTGGCCATCACTGCCACCTGTGGGAGTGTGTTGTCCTTCCCCAGGAGGTGTGTGTGCCAACCTAGCTTTGCTCCTAATCTTCTCATTGCTGCTTAGGAAGGAGCTGCATGTTATACTTAATTAAGTGTCATTACCTCTCTCCCCCAACACTAGACCTCAGGGTCATCTAGTTTTTATCATTTAGCCAGTGAATCACCCACTTCATGACTTGTTCTTACCCTGATTGCAGAATGAGAAAACACACTATTCCATTGGAGAAGAAGCAGAAGTCGTCTGCCTGAGTGGCTATAACCTTGTTGGGTACCAGTTCCTCAGGTGCCTGCCGGACAAAACATGGAATCAACACACGGTCGAGTGCCAATGTAAGAAGCAGCAGAATATCTTGGGTGGAAAGTGGGGATGGGGAACCCGTGGATTTCCAGATATTCTTTGGGACTCCACAACTCCCATCTGCCCCAGCCAGCATGGCCAATGGGCAGATGTGATGGGAATTACAGGCCACCAGTATCTAGAGGACCACAGATTCCCTGTCTCTGGTGTAAAGGATAGAAGTGAAGCTCTTCATTATCCGTGGGCAGAATCCAACATTGTGGAAGCAGACTCAGACAATGGGTTTTCACATTCCTTCTCTTTTTTTTTTTTATAAATTTTTTATTGCGTTCCTTTCCATATCTTCAAACAATCCAAATACCACAAATACATTAAATACAAGAAACAATTTTTCTTTTCTTTTACATCAAAGACCAATTAAAAACCAAACCTAAAAATATATATAAACCATTCCCTATTTGGACTTCCCCACACCCTCCGGAACTGCATTCTTTATAATTTAGTAATGTCAGCAATTTGTTACCTTGTTTCGTACCTTATTGTAACTTTCAATTTGTTATGCATCCAAATTCAATATATTGTATCTTAATTTCAATACTTTTAAAATAAACATAACATGTTCAATTCAAATTGTCTCCTTTTCTTTTTATCACTTATTTTAACATTTACTTAATCATATTTGCCAAAGCATAGTATTTCTCAATCATGCACTAACTTAAGATTCATACAGCTTGTGATGTTTTTGCAAATAGTCTTTAAATTTTCTCCAGTCTCCCTCGATTATTTCTTCATCCAAATCTCGGATTCTGCCAGTCAGCTCAGCTACTTCCATGTAGTCCATCAACTGCGTTCACATTCCTTCTCTCCACCACTTGCAGCTTCTCATGCACATCCAAAATCTGATCCAGAGGCTCCCCCCGCCATTGCAGAGCAGATTTTCGGACACAGAGGAATGTGGAATCCCATTGTGTAGGCAGAAGTCTATTCCACACACACACACACACACACACACACACACACACACACACACACACACTTATCCCAGTTCTCCCATTACATTTTCAGGAAGTGGGATGTTTCCTACCTCCCACCACCCTTCATCCAAAGATCAACTTATTCATTCAGACATCCAAATTTATCTCTTAAACTCCAGTGTCGACTTGCTCCAGACCACCCATCTCCGATGATATCAGAATCACCCCATTTAAATTCCAGTACCGGATCGGGGACATCATCCACCTGAGTTGCCCAGGTGGTCGTGTTGTTACTGGCCAAAAGAAGTACACTTGTGGGGCTGATCTATCATGGACACCTCCTATTTTGACATCACTTACTTGCAAGGAAGGTAAGTCTCTACCAACGCCAGTTTCTGCACTCATGACATTAGGCTTCTTATGTATTCACCATTTACTGTATTTTCCTCACCCTGTGCTGAAGGCTTAGCAGGGGACAACCACTGGCTCTGAATCAAGCATCCACAAATTGTGAGATGATAAATCAAACACAGTCTACCAGCCAGGATATGGTGTCCCACTCAGGGCTCATTCAGTCTGGCTTGCTATCCAGCTGGGACCTGATGGGCTGTCAAACCTTCAATAGGTTGGTGGGCTGTGGGTTGTCCAGGCCTGTTCTAAATGGAGATGAAAAACATCATCTAAAAATAGCTGTGGTGGGAGGGGGTTGTATATGGTGATCTTTGTTGACATCCCTAACTTCTGTTCTTCTTCCAGACTAGCTAGGATATTGAAACTTTGCTCACCTACTTGGCAGTCTACCATGAAGCCTGTAGCTGTGAACTGCCAATATGTGATGCTTGCTTAATTCTTTTTCTTCAGATGGGCAGATGAATTCAAGAGGGAATTGTCCACTTGGACAAAAAGAGGTGGAGTCTCAGTGCATTTGTATATCTGCTGAGGAGGACTGTGAGTAAGTAAGACTGGTGAAGTTAATTCTAACCATAAACCTGGTCTTGTGGCCTGACGGTTGCTCAGCAATCTTCCTGTAGTTGCAGGACAGCAAAAACAGGAGGGTTGTTGAGCTTCTGGTGGACCACATAATACACGTCTGATGTTGTGCATTTTGCCTCACAGATTATGATCTGCACCAAAGTTTATTTGGTGATAAGAATAGGGGTGTCCTTGTCTTCCTCCATCCTTTGTGCACCCATATTTATTTGTTAATACATTCATATCCTACCTTTTGGGTCCAGCAAATTTTGCATTGCCCTAAATAAACAAACACACACGCCATAACCAAAGCTTAATAGTATTTTAAAAAAATTAATCAACTGGACCTAATCAAATTAGACAGCAGCAATCAGGTAAAACCAACAGCAAGAAAAAGAAAAGCGACAAAGCAATTTGACAGAAGATGCTTCACAAAGAAAAACAGCCAGGAGGAAAAACCATCTCAGATTCCGGGAGGTCACAAAGCTCTCTGAAACAACAACCTGATGTCAAAATGCCAAAAGAAACAGGGTAAATGTGTTGATGCTGTTGTTCTAAAGAAGAGGTTGTCAACCTTTTACCTTTTGGGGCCTGTGGGCACATTGCAAACCTGTGAAACTTTCATGGGCTGCAAAACTGAAGCACACACACTGCTACCTGTTCTCTTGGCCTACAATAGACTTATTCTTTCAGATCTAATTTCAATATAGAGAGGGGACCCTGCAGGCATCAGGGAAGGCCACGGTGGGCACTTGTGGGCACGTGATCACCACACTGGTGACCTCTGTTAAAGTGTTGATGCCATTGTTCAAAAGGGTCTGCCCAGGGTAAGCCACCAGCACATATATATACAGACACATGCGCTGCATTTCTTTCCCCCCATTTTTTTTTATTATTTTTCACAATATTATAAACAAACACACACACACACACACACACAAAAACAAACAAACAAACATAAATCATAGCCTTATTGAAAATTACAGTTATTAACTTTGTTAAGTGACTTCCTCGCTTCCCCTTGGTTGAATTTCATTGCATGTCCATTTAATGGTTTTCCAAATTCCAATTTTTATGAAATTTAACTTAAACATTAACATCCTCAGATCTTCACCTTATGGAATTAAACATATCAATTCATCACAACATAAATATAATCCTAAGCCCATTAAGTATCTGCAAGCTATTTTCAGCTAGTTTAACTTAACAAATTTAACTAAATAATCATTAAATTTATTCCACTTTTCCTGATACTCCTCCTCCTTCTGGAGGAGTCTGAAATTCCTAATACCTGCAATCTCATGCTTAAAAAAAGGACTTTATGGAGAACTAGATGGTTGTGAAGGGAGATGCATTTCTATCCAGTGTAAAATAACAACAACAACAACAACAACAACAACAATTTTATACCCCACCCATCTGGCTGAGTTTCCCTAGCCACTCTGGGCAGCTTCCAACAAAATATTAAAATACAATAATTATTGTGTAATTGTGAGATGTGTAATATGAATGCACCTGTCAAGAGTAATGATTACTTAGTTTCGTCCTAATAATAGATTAAGGGCATAAATTGGAGCCCAACACAAGCGCAGATACGAAGCAGCAAAGTCCTTGGCATCTCTTGAACTCTGGAATAGCTGTGAAAAGCCTGTGTACTGCTCTTTTCAATGTAATTTTTTTAAAGCAGCAAAGGAAGCTCAGGTGTTCTGGGGATGCATTAGACTGTTAAAAGGCCACCTCAGAAAAGCAAGCAATGAACGGTGGGACCATATTGTCTCCCAGTCCTCACCCTTATCTCTTGACAGTCTCTACTCTGAAGAGATCTGTGTGCTGGATGGGGCATCTGAACAAGCCCTTACAAAACCGAGCTGCCAGTATCTGGTTGAAAGGTGCAATGGCTCCGAACAGTTCCATTTCCTCCATTCTGGACCCTGCCACGATGACACGCCTTTGAACTGGGCCATCGAGAGGGCAAGCTTTTCAGCAAACAGCACAAAGAAAGAACCTTGTGGATATGATGTGTGTTATGACTGGGAAACATGTTCAGGTAAGTTTGTTGACCTGGAAGGATGAACTTTTTAAACGTAAATTGAAAGGCATGTTGAAAAGAGACAGTTAAGTGTTAAGAGAAAATATACAATTTCAGCTAATACGTAAATTATGAAACACTATAGATGCATGCTTCTATCATCAGAATCAGGGCTGGATTTAGGTTTGATGAGGCCTTAAGCTACTGAAGGTAATGAGGCCCTTTATATGTCCAGCTGTCCTTTGTCAACAACAAATTGTCACTGTTTTTTGTGTAATTTATGGACCTAATAGGTATCTAAAGTCATTTGCACGTAACAAATAGGAGCCTACACAACACAAAACACTGTTGCTGTATGTAGGTTTTATTTTTTTTTTGTTTTTTATCTTATATTTTGGAAAAGTATATCCAGGTGTTTTTTCCTTTAATTTTTTTTTTGGGGGGGGGAGCCAAGAGAGTGATGCCCTGAGCTATAGCTTGTTTAGCTTATACGTAAATCCATGACTGGTCAGAATATAAATCCAAGCAATCACAGTGTGTGTGTGTGTGTGTGTGTGTGTGTGTGTAACACAAGCACACATATAGTAACAATTAATTTTATTAATTGATTATCACAATATCACTAATTTTCCTGTTGCTGTTTGGTCAAATTAGCTTGCAACTTAAAGTTTGCCTTTGCATCCAATTCTTACAAACTGTGGTTTGTCCACAATCCAGGATTGCAAACCATGAGTTTGGAACCCTGAACAATTAGAGTTGTAGAATCTGAGGTTGCCTCTGGTTAGGCAACTACACATGTGAAGCCTACTCCCTGCAGACGTTTGTGCAGTAAACTCAAGAATCCGGGAACGAGCATGCGATGTCAGGGTGGGACTAATTGCTGCAGGCCCACTCCTTGCCTCTCTGCCATTTGATATGGGATATATTAATCCCCATATGGGGCTATGAGTCCCCATATGACTCTCTTCCTTTAAATTCCTAGAAGTTTACCTTAATGAAAACATCACTTGGAAAAACAATATAACTCAGGTGGTTAGGAAGGCCCAACAGAGACTCCATTTTCTCAGGGTCTTGCGAAAGAACAATGTTAAACAACAATTGATGACCTCCTTCTAAAAAGGTAAAGGGACCCCTGACCGTTAGGTCCAGTCACGGACAACTCTGGGGTTGTGGCGCTCATCTTGCTTTACTAGCCGAGGGAGCCGGCATACAGCTTCTGGGTCAGCATGTCTAAACCGTATCTGGCGAACCAGAGCAGCACACAGAAACACCGTTTACCTTCCCGCTGCAGCGGTACCTATTTATCTACTTGCACTTGGATGTGCTTTTGAACTGCTAGGTTGGCAGGAGCTGGGACAGAGCAAAGGGAGCTCACCCCGTCATGGGGATTCGAACTGTGACCTTTCGATTGGCAATCCCTAGGCTCAGTGGTTTAGACCACAGCACCACCTTTCTACCGGACCACGATAGAAAGTGTCCTCTCATATTGTATCACAGTGTGATACGTTGGCTTGACAGCCACAGACAGAAAGTCTTTACAGAGGGTGGTGAACACAGCACATCATATCATGGGCTGTCCCCTGAGCCTGCTAGATGACATCACAAGGGATCGTTGCCTTAGGAGAGCAAGAAAAATTCTCAGGGACAATTCACACCCCGGGCAGCACCTCTTTAATCTTCTACCCTCGAGCAGGAGATATAGAAGTATAATCAGTTGTACCAACAGGCTAAAAAACAGTTTCTATCCGTGGGCTGTTAGGCTGCTGAACGGAATATAATATAGTGCAACTGACTTTCGGGGTTGGTGTGTTGTGCGACAAGCACACAGAGTGCAATGAGATTGAGTGTTTGTGTTGTGGGGGAGGCTCAGTTAATTTCACTGTACACAGGTTGTACATTGACAATAAAGGTATTATTATTATTATTACCGTCTTCAATGGATCCCCTTGCAAAGCACATTAATCTAACCTGGAGGTGGTAAGAGATTAACCCCCTCTAGCCACTGCTGTCACTTGGGCATCTAAAAGTGCTCCCACCTTGTCAAGCTTGGTCCAAAAGTCACCTGCCTTTTGATTTGTCTGTTTGCTAGTGGGCGATCAACCTACAACTATTGAAATAATTTTGCTAATGCCTCTGCACTCCTCCACATACTTCCTGAGAGGTCACTGAAATCTAGAGGGCTTATTACTGAGTAGGAAAAAAATGTGGAGAGGGTCATGCTGTTTCATTTCCAAGACATTTCAAAATCATATTCTTAAATGAGAGGGGGGGGGAGAGAACATGTGTGAGATCCATGTTTATTTATGGATTTCAGGGGGAAAGTGGCTGCAAGAAAATGCCTTTTTGGCTAGTAGATCTCTGCAAAAACAAAACCTTGTGTCAATGTTTGTTATGCAACTTGTTGTTCACTGTGCAACAGGGTGATAACAATTGTGGGTTTTCTCGTAAATTGCCTTGGCTGAGAACACATGAAGAAGTTTTCTGCCAGGAAAAAGATGGTTTGTCTGGTTAAATTCTCCCTTCTCCCCCCTCCCCCAATCTTCCTTTTAGCCAGAAGCAGAAGCAGAAACCACTCTAGACGCTTTCACACCTGAAGCAAAACCGCACTCGCTCATCCTTCCAATTTGGATGAGAACTATTTTTCTTTATGAAAATAACATATAGTGATTGGAAGCAGAGAAATAATATCCCCTCTGCAGCTACAGTCTGACTGCTACAGGGCAAGGCAGCCCTAGGTAGAAGGGCTTGGTCTCAGTACTGTCATTAGACTGTTTCATTGATGGAAGCAACTTCCAGTTGCATCAGAAGAGATTAGAAAAACAAAACATTATATATTATTTACAAGTGGTGGTTCAAAATATTGACAAGGGAGGTGACACCTGATTTAAAGCAGCTAGTGCTAACGATTTCGCATTAGGAGAGTGAGCAGGCACGGTGCTGCCTCTTTCAAATGTAGACGCATATTAGATAGCTCTAGTTATGGGGCTGTATCCAACTGAGCCGTAGTCAGAGTCAGGGCCGGCCTACCCATAAGGCAAGGTGAGGCAACTGCTTCAGGTGGCATGATTCACTGGGGCAGCCAATCCCAATGTCAATCTTTCTTCCCAGCCCCCCTGTTCTTGATGTAGATCTTCCTTCAACCCTTCTTCCCTGGACGGGAGGAGGAGCCATTCTGGGGTCTGCCCGAGGTTCCAAAATGCCGCGGGCTGGCCCTGCTCAGAGTAGACCCACTGAAATTAATTGACAATTAGTTGACCTTCAGTGTGTCTACTCTGAGTAAGACTAATGTCTGATACAGCCATGTTTTGTAGCAGATGAGAGTTTGCTGTTTTGCCTATACTCATAGTTTGCAGTCCTGGTTTGTAGCCCAACAAACCATTTCTGCTGGATTTTTCTCTCTCCTTCTCCCAGTTTAGGGTCCTAGCGGAGGTCAGGTGAACATTAGGCACTCACTGATACGACAGAGGTCACATCCCCAAAGCAAGGCCATAGCAAGGCAAGTCAGAAGGGAGCTACCATGGGCAAAAAGGTAGCTTGTCAGCACCCTGGAGAGCTCACAGGGAAGTATTCACTCAGAGAGTTATTGCCCCAACACCTTAGTGAGTTCTTATGAAGGCTGGCTGGCCTCAACTTCCTATTTGCCCTGCCCCTTCTGAGGAACCATATTTTCATTTAAAGAGCAGTTGCCCTATTCTGACTTCTATGGCATGGAGGTGGTAAGGAGGGCCTAAGAGACCCCCAGGTATAGGGTGGTATATAAATCCAATTATTATTATTAATAATAATAATAATAATAATAATAATAATAATAATAATAGAATTGGAGGGCTGTACTCTGGCCTGGAAGGGTCTGTTAAAGCCTGATAATCTGACATTGGATGATCTGGGAGCAGGGTGGAGTGATTGCCTCACCTTCTTCTGAGTCTGCCTCTGAGTCAGATGGAGGATTGTTGTCAAAGAATATAACAGGTTTGGATGCAAAAGCAAACTATGGTTTTTCACAAGCTATGGTCAGACTTTGTTATTACTATTATTGTTATTTTTGCACCATGTGCAGCGAGAAGAGGGAGGGAGTGTAGGACCCTGAAGCTTGTGCTGGCGTACTCTTGTCATGTCAGATTGCAGTGAGGGCATTGTGTCTGAATGGCCCCAAAGGCAAAATCCCAAATTCTATTAAAAACATTCTGCTAATGGAGGTGCAACTGATTTATTCCGGAAATAGGTGGTGTGTATTTTAGCTGGTATTCCTAAATTAACCACCACTGCTGGCACTGCAATTGAATGCCCTCAATGTGTCAAAATGAATGTGTGATATATGCTTGGAAGGAGGCCTTGTCATGCAACAGGAGCTTACGGACACCATTTCCATTATTATGTTATAATCAATTTGAAGATCATATTTGACGTGGTGTAATCCCCTATTTTTTACACTTTATATAGTGTGTGGGGTACCACTGAGCCTTGGGCTTGCCAATCAAAAGGTCGGCGGTTCGAATCCCCGCGACGGGGTGAGCTCCCTTTGCTCTGTCCCAGCTCTTGCCAACCTAGCAGTTCAAAACATGCCAAAAAGTGCAAGTAGATTAATAGGTACTGCTCCAGCAGGAAGGTAAACGGCGTTTCCATGCGCTGCTCTGGTGTCAGTGTTCCGTTGCGCCAGAAGCGGCTTAGTCATTCTGGCCACATGACCCAGAAAAACTGTCTGCAGAGAGGACAAACGGTGACTCCCTCGGCCTGTAAAGCGAAATGAGAGCTGGAACCCCAGAGTCATTCGCGGCTGAACTTAACTGTCAGGGGTCCCTTTACCTTTACCTCTCATGGAGAACACTGTGCTCCTTGGAGTAATTTGTCCCCCTTTGGTCCCCAACCTGCACTCAGCTCTCTCCTGTGGCTCCTAGAAGCTGTCAGCATGTGACAGCAGTCACAACCCAGGAATGGTTTTGACTGGCCAGCTAAACCAGGTGAGGCTAGCTGATGGGTCTCAAACCCTCAGTGAGTTAGGACTTCTCCCTGTATGCAAAGACAGGCTCTGGAGGATGGAGCAGACGAAACCAGTAGTAGGTCCAGCAGTCAAGAAGGCGGTTTCTACACATGCCATAGAGGGAAGTGAGGAGCATATGGGCTCATCAACTCTGAGTACCATTTGATGGGAAAGCAGATATAAGTAAAACCAATAACTAAGCAACAGCAAGAAAAGACTGTTTTGTTTTACTCTCCTGTTTGTGGGTTTTCTATAAGCATCTGGTTGGCCACTGTAGAAAACAGGATGATGCACTGCATAAACCTTTGATCAGGTGGTGGAGAACCTGTGGCCTGAAAGATGCTGCTGAACTACAACTCCCATCATCCCCGGCCATCAGCCATGTTTGTTGGGGACGATGTCTTTTGTATTTCAACAGCATCTGGGGGATGGAAAGATGGAAAGTGATCCACCCCTGCTCTGAACAAGCAAACAGAAATCATGCTCAGCTGACCCTAAGCCATTTCCCATTCACAGAGACGGAATCACAGTGTACCTGCTTGCTTCCAAACCAGTGCCCAAAGGATGAGGGCCACCTTTACTGCATCCAGACCAGAAGAGGGCGTCCAAAGAGGACATACACCCTCTGTGCATTGGGGGCCATGAAGTGCACCAAGATGAGGGTGGAATCCTTTCATCCTGGGAAGTGCTTGCCTTAAAATAGACATCAAAACTCATCTCCTTACGGACAGACATATTTCGGTAGCATGGTATATTCAGAATAAATATCAATGGACGTTAGTACTTTGGTATCAATATATGACAATCACTGAAGTAAGGAGTGCTTTACATATGTCCTAAGAGTACAGCATTGATGAAGATTTCAGAACTGTCTTTTTCAACCATTCATTAGGTGGAATGGGTGTGTGTGATGAAATGAATCCCTCCCCAAAAATATTGAGGGATATGAGATGGAGTTGCCATTTACCTTACTTAAACTTAGGATGTAGCTAAAGTTTCTCTCTCTTCCTTTAAGCTCAATGCTCTCTCTCTGCTGCTTCCCATTGGCCACATTCCCTTTACAGTCGTACCTTGGAAGTCAAACGGAATTTGTTCTGGAAGTTCGTTCAACTTCCAAAACATTCAGAAACCAAAGCATGGCTCCTGCAGTCCGTCGGAAGCTGTGCCGGATGTTTGGCTTCCGAAAATCATTCACAAACTGGAACACTCACTTTTGATTTTTGATTGTTCGGGAGCCAAGGTGTTTGAGATCCAAGGTACGACTGTACTGTCTTAAGAGTAAGGCTACATCATGTTGCATCACCCCCAAGGCATTCTGGGAAGTTAATTTATATCCCACCTTTCCTCCCAAAGGAGCCCAGGGTGGCGAACAACAAGTGATAAAATAATTCCGAGGGGATTATGAACAGGAATCACACCACAGCCTTTTTTAAAAAACAAACAAACACAACAACCATTATTTATTAATACAAGATAAGTCATGATCTTTGAGTACTGGTATTTCAGGATGGCTGACAAAGTCTGGCTCTGTACAGTCCATCTGCTTGCTTTAAGACAATATGAAATAAGTGTTCTGGGTTATTGCTGGCTTGAGACAGCTAAAGACCTACTAAGCAAAATGCACTGCCATTCTCTAACACAGTCATCTTCAACTTCTTCAAAACCAGCTAAGCATCAGCTTGCAGCAGAAGGGTCCTCTAGTAATCTCAATCATGGAACTCCTGTATGTCCAACTTTCTTTGTTTTCCTCTTTCACTCTCTTTCTTCTTGGTTTCCCCACCCAACTTCTCCCTCTTTACTCTCTTAAAAGACAGTAAACCTTTCAGTAAATAAGCCAGTTAAATGGTGGAGTTGCCACCTGTGTGATCAGCCATATTGGTCAGTTGACGTCCAAGTGCTCTAGAATCTGGCATAGTCAAGAAGCAGAGCTAACTGTGAGCCAATGGAGATATTCTTGGGCATTTATTAAATTTATATCTGAACCTTCCTCCCAAAGGAAACCAGAGAAGAAGAGAGGGGAGGCCTGGTTTTCCATGGGTGAGTCAGTAAGTGCAGAGAACAATTTAATAGCACATCACTAGTTTCCTCAGATGCCCTCCTTTACTTTCTCCCATACCAATGAACAGCTGCCATTTACCACCACAGGAAAAAGTAAGGTATCATACTTAAGTACACATCTGAAGTATGAATAAAATCCATCCTGTGTTTGACACTGGGTGGGCTGCTCCTCTATGACAGCCATTGGAGGCGGGGAATGCACTCCCCCCATATGTCCTTGAAATAAACAAGCCTTCTCTTCCCATATCACCTACAAAGTTATGTCCATTTTGCTAGTTTTAATAATCCTCATTCCACCGTTCTCCTGACCCCTTACTTTTTTATTTTATTTAGAAGAACGTATAAACTGCTTAATCAAATGATTCCTAAGCAGGGTAGATAAAACAAAATAAAACAATTCTCAATAATATACAAATGTAATCAACAAAAACCAACAAGTATACAGAACTGAGTTATATGCCCAGAGAGACTTGGCCAAAGGTTGCAGCAGTAATGTAATACAGTGCATAACACACTGGAAAACCGAGTGGTTATCCTAGTGCAATAAGCAAACATAGACTAGGGATTTTGTACATTGCACGGTCTTATGCTAACAACAGTGATGTTCTCCCCCTGGCACTTGAGGACCCCAGCCTCGCATTCAGTCATGGTCTGCTGCGCGACCCTTCCTTCCACTTCAACGCAAATGCTTATTCCTGTGTCACCGCATTGTCCAGCTTCTTTGCACGTGCACTGGTTGGTTGGATCTAAACAACCACCACAAATGAGAAAAAATAAACAATAGTGAATGAGACTGTAATTCACCGAACGACCTGGATTAACAAGCAGCTACAGGAAGACCAAAAGAAGCCAACTTCGCAGGCTCTAGAATCTGGCATAGTCACACAGCCCACTCATAAGTTCTGCACTGGGGGGGGGGCGTTGGGCACCACGGGGGTCAGTATGGCGGCATGGGAGTTTTCAGTGCGGCAGAGCAACTTTGATTTCCTTAAAAAGAAAGCTCAATAACTTTGGTCCGCCCCAGGTGCTGATTTAAAGATCACTCTGCAAATACCATGCAGTGCATTATCTCCTGAAATGATCAGCAAACAAAGCTGGCAGGCCACTTCCTGCAGCTTGCCAGGACAGACCTAGCCCTGAGCCACCCCTACTTTGAAGTGCAGGGTTGCAGTTAAGTTTTGGTTTTGCACAGATTGCCAGTATATGTGTGTAGGAGAGGGAGCAATCTAGACTGAAATTCATGCGGGGTACAAGAAATCATCAATGAATTACATGGGTGCAGTGGGTGTTTTGTGTCATATTCTATCTTATTACTGTTGTAAGCTGAGATAGATGATTTATCACGGTCAAAGAGCAGCTCACATAACATAACCCAATAAAAACAGCGTTCATAAAGATAAAATATACAATCGGAGCAGATTGCAGGAATAGCTCATGAGTTAAAATTGTTGTAAGCTGTATTTTATCTGCTGCTCAGTAAGTTGTTCAGCCTTGGGTAAGTTTTACTCATCAAAGCATCCTGGAAATATTTTACAATAAATAATTATTTAACACCCTCCCCTTCTATGCTGAGCCTGCAGCAAGAGAACGGGCCTTCTCCGCAGTGGCTCCCCGTCTGTGGAATGCTCTCCCCAGGGAAGTTCGCCTGGTGCCTTCACTATACACCTTTAGGCACCAGACAAAAACATTCCTTCTTAACCAGGCCTTTGCCTGACCTGATCTACATCCTATACTCTTTTTAAAATGCTTGTTCTTTTTAGGGGTTTTTTTTTTTAATTGGGTTGCTGTTTGTATTTTGATTTTATGTATGTGATCCTTCATGTGAACTGCCTTGAGACCTTCAGGTATAGAGAAGTATGCAAATAAAACAACAACAACAACTCCCTTACCTGTACATACTAGGGTCCAATCAGGTAACTGGGTTTTAAATGAAAAACACCCCCTTCTATAAAGTGAATATAATTTGTAGTTTGGTTCAAGAATGCTCCCTAGAACCCTGCAGTGTGGGTGTATTGGAATTCCTCAGCAAGCAAATCAATGAGAAAAGTAAGTTTGAAGACCACCATTGTACACTTCATCCTATAGCTAACCTTTGCTCTCATCTCTGGTAACAAATCCTAATTTTCCTACTCCATAGTTTGAAGCTCACTGCCAGAAATACAGGAAATGCCACAGCTAATTCTGGGGAGGGTAACCCTAAGACAGTAAAGGTAAAGGGACCCCTGACCATTAGGTCCAGTCATGGACGACTCTGGGGTTGCAGCGCTCATCTCGCTTTACTGGCCGAGGGAGCCGGCATACAGCTTCCGGGTCATGTGGCCAGCATGACTAAGCTGCTTCTGGTGAACCAGAGCAGCGCACGGAACCACCGTTTACCTTCCTGCCAGAGTGGTACCTATTTATCTACTTGCACTTTGACGTGCTTTTGAACTGCTAGGTTGGCAGGAGCAGGGACCGAGCAATGGGAGTTCACTCCATCACAGGGATTCGAAATGCCAAGCTTCTGATTGGCAAGCCCTAGGCTCTGTAGGGATGCGGGTGGCGCTGTGGGTAAAACCTCAGTGCCTAGGACTTGCCGATCGCATGGTCAGTGGTTCGAATCCCCGCGGCAGGGTGCGCTCCTGTCGTTCGGTCCCAGCGCCTGCCAACCTAGCAGTTCGAAAGCACCTCCGGGTGCAAGTAGATAAATAGGGACTGCATACCAGCGGGAAGGTAAACGGCGTTCCGTGTGCTGCGCTGGCTCGCCAGATGCAGCTTGTCACGCTGGCCACGTGACCCGGAAGTGTCTGCGGACAGCGCTGGCTCCCGGCCTATAGAGTGAGATGAGCGCACAACCCTAGAGTCTGGCAAGACTGGCCCGTACGGGCAGGGGTACCTTTACCTTTACCTTTACCTAGGCTCTGTGGTTTAACCCACAGTGCCACCCATGTCCCAACCCTAAGGTAACTCTGCACTAAATCTTCAATCCAAGCTTGTTCCATGCTATTCCCAGTAAATCACATTTAGAAGTACTGCGGTGGGGTGAGAAGCAAGTGCACCCACAAATTGAATTATCTGGTCGGGAATTTGGGTGCAGAAGGATGTTGGAGAAACCTCTTACCATGACATGTCTCCCACAGCTGGCATGAGCCACAAGGTCTTGTGGATGCAGCAGGAGTCCTGCAGGTTTCCTTGCTAACCAAAGCATATTGCCTGCCCATGCACTCCAATGCATGTAGCTTGCAGATGGTTAGCCATGTGCTTCTTTTGGTTCTTTGGTCTGTAGCACAGATGTCCAGGGAAGAGCTAGGAGAAAAAGCAGGAAATCACACTATTGACAGGGGGCTGAAATTTACAGCAGTGTTGGGGAATCTGCGGCCTTCCATGATGTTGTTTGACACCCACTCGCATCAGCCCCAACAAGCGTAGCAAATGGTGAGGGATTTATTTATTTATTTTAATTTATACCTCATAAATGGAACACATTCTAAAAACCAACAAAGCAAAAACATTTCAAAACAGTTAAAATATTCCGAAAAGAATTAAAAACCTACAAGTTAAAACACCCTAAAAGCAGTTAAAAACAATGATCCCAGGGTTGGCAGGAACAGTATTCTTCAGTCACCAAATGCCTGAGTAAACATGGATGTTTTCAAATCCCTCCTGAAAGTTGATAAAAGGGGAAACAGGCACACCTCGATAGGGAGGGCATTTCACAATTGGGGGATCACCACTGGAAAGGC